GATTTGCCTTATAAAATACGTCCTTTGATTTCTTGGCTGCTGCTTCCATGAGTGTTCATGGTTGATCAAAGAAAAATGAACTCTTTCACAACTTCAATCTTTTCTCCATTGATAAGAATGTTGTTTATTGGTCCAGTGGTGAGGATTTTTGTTTTCTTTACATTGGGATGTAAAATCCATACCAAAGGCTATGGTCTTTGATCTACATAAGTATTTTAAGTCCTCTTTGCTTTCGGCAAGCAATGTTTTATCATCTGCATATCGCAGGTTGTTAATGAGTCTTCCTTCAATCCTGATGTCATGTTTTTCTTTATATAACCTAGCTTCTCGGATTATTTGCTTCATGTTCTACATGAATTTCCTTCATATTTTTTTTCTGTTTCTTTGTCTAGCTTACAGTATTGACAGATTTATCTTCAAGCTCACTAACTTGGGCTGTCATTGATTTAAATCTACTCCTTTGTCCTTTCAATGTTTTGCCCATTTCTGAAATCTTAATATTAATCTTCTGGATTTCTATTTGCAGGTTTTGTGTCATCTCCAATCCTTTATATATTTTGCTTTATTGTTCCTGTAGTGGTTTCCTGAATTCTTCCTCTTTTTCTCTACCTTTCTGTCATATCTTTGGATTTATCTCATATCATTCCCTTAAAGTATTTTTCAGGTAATTCCAATGCCTTTTTTTTTTTTTCCCCTAAAAAATGTTTTCTAGCTCTGCCTTTTGGTCACTTGTTTGAGACATTCAGTTTTGTTTCTTCATGTGAACAGAAATTGTCTACTGCTTTCAAGACATTGTGATGTTGTTGTATTTGTATTAAGTTGATGATTGTATGTTGGTGTATTTTATGCACTCACCAAGTGCCTCCTGGTAGGTATGGTCAGGAGATAAGCGAGTACACTGAAGTTCAGTTTAGGATGAATTTGTGTGACATTGGTTGTTGTCATTGATCTAGTGTACAGCCACTGATACTGGCATTTACTCAGCAGGTGGTACTAGAGGGTACAGTTGTGTCTGGGCTGTATCGCTGCAGTCACTATCTCCTATCAGGTGAGGCAAGAAAATAAAGCATACACACAGAAATAAGGAAAACAGGCCAGCAAACAGCAAAAAAAAAAAAAAAAAGAAAGAGAGAGAGAGAGAAAATAATAAAGAAAAAAAAGCTAAATGCATGCAACTGCTAGCAAAAAATTCAAAAATCAAAGTCAGAAAACAGGAAAGGGAAAATAAAATATTAAAAATAGAAAAATAAATTAGAGGAAATAAAAAGAAAGAAAAAGACCTAAACATAGTTATGAAAAGGAATGAGTAAAAGGGAGACCAGAGAGTCATAAAAACAACAATACAAATTAAATAAAGAGGGATAAAAATAAAATAAATTATTAAATAAGAAGAAAGAAATAAGCAGCAGCTGTTGGGAAAGAGAAGCAGCAATAAAATGTAGTAAAAATGAAAGGGAAGGTAGTTGAATTTAAGTTTTGATTTCTCCATGTATGAACCATATCACTGTGGCATGCGATTTATTCTCCCTAAGTCTTTTACAAGTTTATTCATGGGTAATTAATTTATTTGATGCATAGCAAAGACATGAAATCTGAATGTCCGAGAGAATGATGCTGCCATTAATTACAGTGGGTCTTCAAGGGAAAAGCTGACTTTGAAACATGGATAACATCTTAAGCAAGTTACATAAACTGCCATGAACATGATTTGTTGGTGTACAATGGTTTATGGAGAGTGTATGCAGTTCAGAATTGGCCACCGGGGTTAGATTTCCAACTTGATATAATACAGAGCGATTGTTAGGTATGGAAAGCATGATTCAAAATCACAGGATGTAACACAATATGAACAATATCAAAGTCAAATTTTGTCTAGTCTTCTTTTGCCTATCGTTGACCTTCCATGCCTTATGAAATACTTATTACCAGATGACAAATAAGGTGTAAGATCTACAGCACACCTAAGAAGAAAGAGATGTAGACAATGTAAGTCAGGACAACAGTATCAAGTGTCAATAAGCAAGCTGGAATGAGACAGAATCAGAGACTTCACTTAAACCAAGTCTGGGAATACAGTAAAAGGAAGAAGAAAGTGGCAAATCTGCTGTTGGATAAACACTGGATTGTTAAACCAAAGGTTTGTTGTTCAAATCCAGCAGTTGCTCTTGGGAAACCCTATACAAGTTTGCTATGAGTTAGAACTGGCTAGATAGTCCTTAACAACAACAACAACAACAGAAAAATAGGACAAAATTAATTGCTAAATTTCCAGACAACTATCAAATCCAGGAAATTCATAGAAACTAAGGAGTATAAAGGCTGGTAGAGGAACAAATATGAATAATCAGTAACTGATTGTGATCTTTGATATCCAACTGGTAGGGTGTTTCCCTCCCCCTGGTATCAACCTAGAGGGGACTGGTCCCAAGAGAGATGATAGGAGAGAAAGGCTTCAGGTCTGGGTAACCAAAAGAAGCTGCCTGTTAGCAGCACAAAGATCAGGTCGAAGGATTCCCAAGTATATGAAGTATTCCTGGTGAGATTTCTTCTCTCTGTTTTCCTGTTTCTTTATGCTGCTGCTAAACTTAGCCTCCAAAGTTCCTTGTTGGGAACTGAACCTGTTCTTTTAAAGATTTTATGCCTAACAAAGAGTTAGGAAAGATAAGAAGGTATAGGAGGAAGAGCAGTGGAAAGAGAAATGGAAGTGACAGTAAGTGAGAGAGTGACAGAAAGTTCAGGATCATGGCCTACATATCAGGCATCGCCTGGTGTGGCGCTGTGGGTTAATACGCTGGACTGCAAAGTTGGTATGCACCACTAGGTCAATGGTTCAAGCTCACCAGCTACTCCTCAGAAACCCTATTCAGGATTGCTATGAGATGGAACTGACTTGATAGCACTTAACAACAACAACCTAGAAACCGTAACTAATTTGTTATTCTTGTGCAAAGCTTTCTGAGGGAATATCACTTTCCTCTGTATACTCAACTACGTAACTTCATGCTTAGTTGGACGTTGCTTGCTAGCTTTTTTTTTTTTTTTTTTCCTTTGAGAGAGAAATCCTTGTTTCTTAAATCAGATATTTTTTTCAGCTTGGGGAAGATAGAGACTTTTTCAATCCATATTTACCCAGTTGATATCTATATGAAAGACAACTGGGAACATATTGATTGATAAAAGTATTGCAAAGTGATGTTTATTCAAGACTCAAAATATATCAGGGACTTTATAGGGCAGAGATATAGCTGTAGTCGCTGAAGGCTGTAACTTGAGAGTATCAGCATTAACTGAGGAGAGCTAATTTACTCTTTTCCCAAAGGAAAAGAGGTTGACAAGAATGATTACAGCAAAATACTAAAACACAAAGAGTATCACATTTTTTAAAAATTGAATTCTTGAGTGTTTGGGATGTTTTCATATACTTATAAATCATTTTGTGACTTATCAATCATTTTGTGGCATTTTACAGTGTAACAGGCTTTTGGTGTTTGTGAAACATCATTTTGAAATGGCCCCAAACTAGATTTTTCTTTCTTTCTTTCACTCTTGCTTTTTAAAAATAAAATTGACATTTTTTATAAATTTATGAAACTTGAGTATTAGATGTATTAGATTATTAAAGTATTAGGTGTGTTAGATGCAGCTCTTTCAACAGCAAGTTATAGAAGTAAACTTGCTTTATATTAAAAAAAAATTGTTGTTGTTAGGTGCCATTAAGTCAGTTCTGACTTATAGCAAACCTATAGCAAACTTATAGCACAACACAATGAAACTCTGCCTGTTCTTGCAATTGTAACAAATTCCTCACAATTGTTGTTACTTTTGAACCCATTGTTTTTGGCACTGTATCAATCCATCTTGTTGGGGGCCTTCATCTCTTTTGCTGACCCTCCACTTTTCCAAGCATGACGTTCTTTTCCAGGGACTGGTTCCTCCTGATATGTCCAAAGTATGAGAGATGAAGTCTCACCATCCTGACATCTGGTATTCCATGGTACTTTTAATTCACTTTGCAAACACCATTTGAATTGTGCAAGCAAAGAAAAGATTTAGAGAACTTGAGGGCAGGAAACCAAATTGATTCTCGGCAGTGGTTTGGGCCTTCAAGTGTCTCTCCTCTCTTCGTGAGACTTCTCATTCACTTAATCTTTATTGATCTTGGAAAATTTGCTTTTCCTGACAGATTAAGGCTCTCTCGTGGCTCCCAAATTGACATGTTTTCAATTTCCCAAAGTTACTGAAATGAGAGAAAGTGTTTGACGATGAACCTGGCACCTACAGCAGAAGATAATTCCTGGTTTGATCATACATGATAAAAATATGGATTCTGGGGACTCAGTCCTGTGGATTTGGGACATAAAGGCAGATATCAGGAAAAAGAAAGAGCTTATGGGTTTGGTGGACACACCAATATTTGTCTCTCTTAATATTCCTGGAATTCTCTTTAGCACAATAAATATTTGCCAAATGAATTATTTTCTGACCAAATGCACTGACATCATGTTTGGCTAGATGAATGTAGAAGCTTTTGTATTTTGAACATCGAAATAGTGGATCGTTATGAAATGACTGCTTTAACAGTCAACTTCAGACTAAAGTTACACTAGTTAAAAGAATG